ACTCGATTTGAAAATTTTTAGCATCAAGTTATTTGCAAAAGCTTGCTTATAGATTTGACTTCAAGTCATAGTATCTACCTTTTTGATTTCAATTGGCAAATGCTTGTTTGCTGATGGTAATAATGCGGGCTTTATTAAAGCTATATCCTTAGCAATGGTTTTATTTGTTTGACCAATTATTCCCTAGTTATTTTGCAATCAATTCTGGCGTTTTGCTCAGAAAATGCCATGATCTTTCTTGTAATTAGGACATAAAAATGTGACCACTTATTCCTCCTGTAGGAATTTCAAGATTAGGACAATAATATTATTAACAGTCTCTTGCAAAAGAGAAGCAGGCTATTTTTCATTTATTTGGTTCTACTTCTCTTATATTATTCTTTTTGTTCCAAAAGTTGTAGTGAACCTTGGTAGAGGAAAATCTACTTTTCACAGAAACTGCAAAATTTCATCCTTGCTGTGAAATATTACTTTCTTCAGTCAACACTCATTGAATTGGTTGGCAAACAAGACAAATTTATAAAATTCGTCAGCATTATTTAGAATAAAAATCGGTATGATGTATCTACTATAATAATAATAATAATAATAATAATTAGTTTACCTTGATTTGACATATTTGACGTATTGGCGTATTTTTAAATTAATTATTATTATTATAATAAATTTATATCCAGCCTTTTGAATGGAGGAATCATGTTAATATGGGGTATTCATGACTAGAACTAGCTGGAGGATTATGAAATACAAATCAGATAAAATCTATTATGTGGATATCGATTTTCGGTTTTTTGTGTCTTAAAACTTTAAAGAATCAGAATTCTTCCTTGGATCTAGCAAAATATCACCATTCTTAATCAAGAAATTTGCTTTCTTAATAGAATTATTAATTTAAATTGACAAGAAAGAAAAAAGGATTCGAATTAAATAAAGAAAACATATAACAAAAAAAAAATTGTTTCGAACATCCTAACTATTCCTCCTCACTTTTATTTCAATCATATTAATATTATTTCAAATGGATTATTTTTAGTGAATTTAGTTTTTTGATTATAAAGTTTAAAACTAATGTCAATTTCCATAATAAATATAGCTTATTAGAAAAACAATCATTTCAAGGCTTTGTGAAATTTAATAATAAACAACATCTTAAATAGAAGGAATCTTTCAAACAAATTAGATGACACACTCGCAAACATAACAAAAAGTTTAGATAGTTACTTTGGTGAAGAAGTTTACAAAGATGACAGCAGTTTGGATATTAATGACAGTACTAATGTTGAATCATTTTTATACAAACATTAATGGCAGTAATAACTCAAATAATAATAATAATGATCGTGATAATAATAATGTAATATGAACATTAATAGCAATAACAATAATGATAATAATAACATAATGACAATAATAACAATAATGATAATAATAATGATAATAATGGGGAATTAAAATCTGATTAGATTAAGATTTGATTTGGTTTGATTTGATTAATAAAATAAATTTATTAATGCGATGAGGTCAAGATATGACAGATATCAAACTGGCCAAACGAATTTCCGTGGGTTGAACCCCGCAATATAAATGATGAAAAAATAAAACAATCTATTTTGTAAAGGTGCAAATAATTATAGAGAGGATTATCTACTTAGACATTGAAACATGAGCATTTTGTAATTTAAGCAATTGACAGATAAAGTTATCAACTCTATTTCAACAAGACAACCAACACCAATGTTAAATAATGACTATGAAGAAGTAATAATAACAACAATTCTCTTTATTCTCTATTTTATACACGAATTCTCCTTTGCTTCTCAAATTCAAATATCAACACATGAATCACACGAACAACAAAAAATCCAAGCCATAGAATATTTTATGGTTGACAGTTATTATTCTTGGAAATCGGACAAAAATCAATATAGTGATAATAATTAATAATAAGTATAACAGGATACCAATAATAAAGCTGTTAACATTTTTGGAACAACAAGCCACTGATTAATAAATCGTTTGATTGGAATTCCAAAGATTATGTTAATTTTTTTAATCAAGAACCATAATTGTTTGTCTGAGATATTTATAGAAAGTAATGATAATAGCTTTCTAGCTATTTAATTAAGTTCTTTAAATTATAGAATGAGCCATTCATTAATTTTGTCAATTTTAATTTTTCTGAATTAATAAATTTTGCATTCATGAAAATCCATAGTTCAACTCAAGTAATAATCTCAAAATCTCAAGATAAAGATAATATTTCAGAATACAAGTCATCAAAAAAATTTATTTATTGATTATCTACTCTTTATAAGAAATAAAAATGATGAAATTAGCAATGTTAGATCCTTTTATAAAAAAACAGATACATGATATTAAGTTACTTTATTTTTATTTCTGCTGCTTTTCATCATGGCTGTTTATCATTCTTTTCTTCCATTCTTTTCCTTTTTATTATTATTTATCAACATATTATTAAATTTATATTTTCTATCCTTCTCATCTTTATCCTTGTTATCATCACATGAAAATTTATTATTAATGATAGCGATTTCAAAATTTGATTCTTGTTTACAAGTTCCAAAATCTTCATCTTTATCATTGGCATCTTTATCACATGAAGATTTATTATTATTAAAGGTGATAATTTCAAGATTTGGTTCTTGTTTACAAGTTTTAAAATCTTCATCAGAATTAATCTTTTTATATCCAACTCTTTCCAACAATATCACAGTACAAAATATGCAAAACATCATTATTTCCATAACTTTCATAATTAACTATTGATTTTGAATGAATTAAGATTGCATTGTTTAAATCATCTGGATTTGGTAAAATTAAATCATCTTCTGAATTAATATATTTCTGCAAGTTCTTCAATAATTTTATCATCTTCTGGAACCTCATAAACAATATTTTCTTTGGGAATATTCTTCAGATTGCATTTTATTAGATAAATTAAGCAGTAAGTGCCTCTGAAAGATCATTTAATACTGAATCATTTGTTGTTCTAGTATTATCAGATATACTGGATAATACTGCATTAACACTCGCTGGAAGAATTTTAATATGTCACCAACAGTTATGAAGAGTTTCAGGTGTGATTTCTTTCCAACTTTTTATTATGAATCTTATTGCCTGCAATACATTCGTTTTTAAATCTTCAATTCTTTTAACTTCTTTAATTTCATCTAGCATCCATCTTTTAAAAAAAGATCATATAAATACTTGAAAGTTAATACAATATGACAAAAAAAAATACATACTTAATATGATGACGTCTGTAATGCCTTTTGAATAACATGATTATTCCAGCATCCATTGATTGAAGTTTTGAAGTAGTATTTGAAGGCCAAAAAATAAACATCAACATGTGAAAGAGTTAAACCATCTATTTTATGGCTTGTACAATTATCAAGGAACAGCAAAACATACTGACCTTAGTGGTTATAACATAATTATGTTATAACCACTTAATCTAGGTTGTAATCACTTGGTTTAGATTTCAAAGTACGACAAGTTTGCATTTGCGTCATAGATTGAGTTGTGGGTTAAGTTGTAGGTTAAGCCTCTCAACAGGCCCATTTGATTATGGTTGATTTGAGTTTGATTCGTAATTTTAAACACTTGTCCAGCTTTTTTGTTTTTTCCCATATTTTTAAACCGCTGCGTCGACTTTGATTCCTGCTTTGGGTCCCGATTCGGGCTATGATTGGTTTATGAATTCGTCATCATTTTTGAGACCATTATAGTGGAGCATTAGTGACAACACGAAATATTTGATTTGAATTTTTCTACATTTATTGTAGGAGACAACAAAAAAAAATCCTTCTTACCTAAGATGAATGGTTAGTTGAGTGTAGTATATCTCCTCCTGCCAGAGGCATCTAACTTCAATCCATTCAGGAAAGAAGGACAATAATCAAATATTGGATCCTCATCAAGAAGCTCCTTACTAATTTGAATGCATTTAGCTTGTTTTTTTAATCTCAAGCTCAGTAATAACTTTTTTAAGCTCATTGTTTTCGTCCTTAATCTTAGTAAACTCAGCATTTTCGTCTTTGAGTCTGTTATAATTGCTTTATTTTTAGGTCCCAAATCAAAAAATTTGATCATGCTTTTATGTAATAATTTTTGATTTGATTTTTTCCCGCATTTAGTAATCCAGGTTATTACTAAAGAAATTAATTGTACGATTTTGAGTCTGTCCTAATTTCACAATTCTAGCATTGTTCTCTTCATATTGATCATCTAAAGCCCTAGTGGTAATATCTAGCTCAATAACTTCCGTCACTAGGTCCCAAATTCTAGCATGAATCCTTTTCTTTCATGTTCTAACTCTTCAATCCTAGTATGAAGTTTGGAGTTAATATCAATGAGTGCTTCCTTTTCCTTTTTAAATTCAGCAATAACAGCATCAAATATCAAGTTTAATTCTTTAAAGGACTCGATACTCACTGGAGTCGATTGCTTCTTACATGTAACTATTATATATTTTTTTCGTGGAACCATTATTATATTTTTCTTTCTGGCAAGTAGTTAGTTGATACCTTCTTTGTAAATGTTCAATAATAAATTCAAGCCCACGGACATCAAAATATAGATGTAGTCTTCTGCCATTTTTATATATATATTTACGCAGAAGACTACACCTTATACCTTGGTTATTTGTTCATCAGGAACGTATTCTTTAACTTCTCTCGTTAAAACATGTTGTCTTTTTTTACTACCAAGTAAACCCAAAAATGGATATAAAAACGGGAGGAATTCCGTCCTAGTTCTGTCCTAATAAAAAAAAAAAAGTTAACTAGGATGAATTTTTTATAAGAGGAGGAGTTTTTTCCTTGATTTATCTTGTTCTTTTATACTTATAAAATCCGTCCTAGTTGTCCTAATAAAAATTAAAATTCTAGGAAAAAAAATGCAAACCCTTTCTATGGTATATGTGTATATGTATATTAATATGTATATCCAAAAAAAAAATATAAAAAAAAAAAATAAAAAAGTAAGAAATTCTGAAATTTTACTAGGACAACTAGGACGGGTAGTCAAAAACCCTTTTATTTAACCTAAAATTATCACCAAGCTATCTTTTCCCGTCTCAGTTATTTTTTTTTTTACTAGGACGGAATTTTTACTAGGACGGAATTTTTACTAGGACAGAATTTTTTTTCTAGGACGAATTTTTATAAGTATTCGAAATATAGTCTACTTGGGCTCTTTTACATCAATTCCATCTTGAGCTAGCTTTTCAAGCTTGTCCCGGTAGTATTCTGCCATTCTTCGGTGTTTTTTAGCATGAGTATCACAAAAACCATAAGTAGAAAAAGTTAACTTGCCACATTCATAATTAAATTATGTGTTTATTTATATTCTCTGGAATTAATTTTCATTTTGAATTATTTTATGCGAATATTATACTACCAGAATTAAGAAGTCAACATATAGTGAAGAAAATACTAAAATACAAAAAACGAAACCAACAGCGTCTTCTACCAACAACGCCGAGAGCGTTAAAGAAAACCAACTATTCTATTATTTTGGCGAAGGTTATTTAACAGGCGTCCCTACTCGTAATGAAATAATTGCAGGAAATGATGACGGTTTTACAACAATTCTTAAACAAGCTTTGGCTAAGCGAGAAGATATACTTTGCATGCCAGTTGCTATCGAAGAATCCAACGAATATATAAACAATATCGCTCATTACGTTTTACGTCTATATGGCTCTCTCATTAATGGCCAGAAAGCAGTTGTAACAATAACTGGTAATAAAGTATTCTTTGATATCCGCGTTCCTGAAAATAAAAATAATGATATATTCGAGTCGGAAATAAAAAAATATTTGTTAGTGGAGAAGACGATGATGGTAATATTGTAGATACGACAAACTTCGAATAGAGCACACAAGCATATTAATATTACACGGATATTGTAGTTATCCACAAAAAATATCCGCAATCGCCAAATCGATTTCTAAATAAGGATAACATGCACCCAACCCACCAATAAAATTGGATACTCTCATGATGCTGCGGAATAATCATGATTATAATCGTTTTCACAAAAAAAAAATTTTTTTTTATATATTACTACGAACTGATCATTCAAATTTATTTTATTGCAAATTATTT